AAGGCTTCCGTCAACCCAGTGCCACTCAAAAGGCTTGGGTCAACCGGTGTATGGATTTCAGGCACTTTCCAAAAATACCAAACTTTGAGATCGACCGCTCCTGTCCGATAACATGAAAAATTGACCATGGTGAAAATCGGACCCGTTTCTCTTGGTCAGAAGGCGAACGTTCTAACCATAAAGCAACCTGCATATATATATATATATATATATGAACCTAAAGAGCCAGATAAACCTGCCATGGTTTCACTTACGCGGATCGTCAGGGCCCTGAGGAATCGCGTAATTGAAACCTTGGTAGATTTATCTGACTCTTTAGGTTTAATTAGGTTTGCTCTACTTAGCGTATTGAGCACTTTACTTCGTTATTTTACTCATTCGTATCGTTTTTTCTTCTTCTTTGCATTCTAGACGATTGTCTTCGGCTAACGTACATGTTCTCTATTCTTTCTTTTTTGTGCCTTTTCTTTCCCTTGGATATTGGTCTGTCTATTTACATATCAAAGTACTCATTGTTTTCCGGACGAGTATAATTTGTTATATTGTTAAATTCATTAATATATATATATATATATATATATATATATATATATATATATATATATATATATATATATATATATATATATATATATATATATATATATATATATATATAAATATATAAAGAGAGAGAGGGGGATAGATAGATAGATAGATAGATAGATAGACAGATAGATAGATAAAGAGAGAGAGAGAGTAATAGAGAGAGTGGCACAAAGTCAGAGAAACTGAAGGCAGTACATGGAAGGTAGGAAAACGTCGAAATGACATGCTTTTCGCAGCAGGTTTTCGAGCGGAAAATGACAGTAAATAGTGAGAATGAGTAGATTTCATAATTTAAAACAAATTATAATTTAATGGTGGGTTTTGTTGCTCGGTTGAATTTGTACTGACAGATCCAGTCACGCATCGGACGTAAAACCAACGCACTGAGTCCATTGTTGCTTCAATGTCTTTATCCAAAACGGAAGAGCTGTCATTTCCATCTCTTCCTCTATATCAAAATGGAAGATCCATAACGGAAGATTACTCCCTCTATATCACATAATGATTAAACCTCTATATCACAAATGGAAGGTCCATAACGGAAGAGCTCCGATAATGATTACTCTTCCTCTATATCACAAATGGAAGGTCCATACACACACACATATCACAAATGGAAGGTCATAACGGAAGAGCTATATATATATATATATATCCATATATATATATATATATATCCATAAAAGAGCTTCTAATAATGATTACTCTTCCTCTATATCACAAATGTTTTAATGATTACTCTTTTATATCACAAATGGGACCATAACGGAAGATTCCGATAATGATTACCGAATATATCACAAATGGAAGAATGAGAATATTTTTCTTCAATAACGCTTTTCGAATATTTAAACCGGTAGACAAAAATGAATAAATATACTGTTTAATCATGTCAAACACACAGTCCTCATATATATATATATATATATATTGGCATATATATATATATATATATATATATATAAAGCCAACGGAAGACCGAATCTGCAAGAATTATTTTCTTCAAATTTTCGAATATTTAAACCGGTAGACAAAAAATGAATAAATGAGATATCCAAAAAGTCCTCATCTTTATTGGCATATTCCACAAGAGCTGGAAAAGGAAAATACTCTATCCAAAAAGGCATGCCACATGGAATTGAAAAGTCTACCCGCTCGTGTGCGAGCGCTAGCCTCATAAGATGAAATTATGATTATGGTTGCAGCTTGGCTAAAGCTATATTGGATGAAACAAGAGTAGTGAGTAAACTGAGAAGTGTTCAGTTTAAGCATTTACACGACATTCTTAAGGTGACGAGGCAGATATGACTTTTACATACAGTCGCGCGAATTATAATGGACGTGAGCTGCACGGCTGTATCAGTTTTCGTTTCCGAGACGAAGGCAGTCGGGTCATCCAAACTTTTTTGCTGTTTACCGTTGCTGAGACAGGATAAGTAGCACCACAAATTATGGATCCAGGAAGACTAAGACCGCTCTTACGTTCTAGAGGCTGTCGGGGACGATCCAGTCATGAGCACTCATCAAATGGCCCTTACATCTGAGGTTACTTCAAGAGCAGCTCCTCTATTCATATCATTTGCAACGTTTGGAAGGTTTTCGCCCTTTGATCATCACAACGGTAGAACATTTGCATGATGGTTTATTGCATATATAACATTTTTGATGTTATATTGCCGATACGTTGTTTTGCCTCTTCAGTCTCGTTTACGGATAAAGGGTTATTTTGAAGAGGTGAAATAACAACCAACATTTGTGGGCGGAACGGAATACTCATGGTACCGTACAGGCTAGATATCAGCATCAGTTTACGATTAATGTGTGGGCTTGGATTGTAGGTGACTGTTAGGGACATATGTTCTGCTGAAACGACTTATACAGGGACTATATTTCGAACATACTTCTAGGCCTGCCCCTGATAATACGAAGACAAATGTGTTTCATACATAATGGAGTTCCAGCACTTTATAGTCACATTCTTCCCGATGCATACCTGAAATCTACCATGAAAGATGGATATGTAGGTGAAGGGATCAGTTTCATGGCCTGCACGTTCACCCGACCTCATTCCCTTCGGTTTTTATCTTTAGGGCTGCACAAAACAATTGATTTATGCAGCAGACATTAATAATGCAGAGACGCTTCATCAACGTGTCAGGGAAGCCTGCGAAACTATTCGAAACCTTATGGAAGTATATGAAAAGGTCCGCCAATCAATGATTCGAGGTGTGCATGCGTGTGTACAAGCTAGCGGAGGACATTCTGAATATATTTTATAAGTTGCTGCGTTTTTGCGCACCTTTTGGACACATGTTTATGTGGACATTTTACCTTGCTTTGATGTCAGGAACCTGTAACCAAAGTTTCCAAATGTATTTTTGGATTGCACCTTGTATTGTACGTCTAACAGCGCCTACCGTAAACTTCAAACTTTATAAATCATAAAGGAAGGATTTGCGGACATATGTTTATATCGACTTTTGTACTTCTTTTTGGAGTGAAGATCCCTCCCACAAAAATTGTGTGTTTTAATACACCATATATATATATATATATATATATATATATATATATATATATATATATATATATATATATAGGCCTGACGATTGCATCTAGCATGAAAAAAGCCTGTCGCCTCTAAGTGTTGCCTTCAATCTTCACTTTTATACTTTTATTTATTTATTTGTGATATTGAGAACTTCATCCCATAAATATAGCACACCTTATGAGTATATTTCTTTATATATATATATATATATATATATATATATATATATATATATATATATATATATATATATATATCAACTGGAAAGGGTAACTCCGGAGAATATAAATCCAGGGAGAGCTCAATATATACTACAGAGCAATAAAATGATAGTACGTAAATGGAGAATTTAATTATCTATTTCGATTACAATTTATTTCGTGAACACCGAGGTATTCAACACTTCAGATCGAATACAAATATTTAAGTAAATGCTCTGTTTATAATAAACATTATTAAACATCTTTTACCGGGCGGAAAATGTTGTTTAATACTGTTTATTATAAACAGAGCATTTACTTAAATATTTGTATCTATAAAAAGAATGTATAAACATAATAATGTCTTAAAATAATTGTCGGATTTAGTCCATTTCCTAATATATATCTATATATATATATATATATATATACTTGTCCAACCACTGAGTCGGGTTGTGAAACAAGATCCGTTTTTAACAGGGGGCCCGAGTGTTTTCATTCGGGCCGCTGGTCTTAGCTTGTCATAGTTTGTCGAAGATGGTCAGAGCTAGTCATAGCTGTGATACCACCAGCACAGTGACGAGTCAAGCTAGTTTGGTTCAATAATCTAGACATATTATGTCAATTTATTCTTATTTAATCATCTGAAATTCACGAATCAATTTCTTAATATCGTTATTGTGTTCTTTTTAGAGGCTAGAAAGAAAGACACAGATGATGAAGATTTAGGTTGAACAAGTGTATTGAAAGAACGGATATATACAAAGTAAGAGTGTCAATAATAAGCAGATAGAGGTGTACGTTGAACGGTACTCGTTGTTATTAGCGTTTCTTTTATTTTCCCAAGTACTTTCAATCCCATCCAAGGTCATCTTCAGGGGTGAATTGCTAAGACAAAAAAAATTGATCAAGTACTCTGTCTATGATTTTATCTAAGATGAAAATATTTAACTAAGTATTCACGCACATGGTTTTTCTACATCGTGTCTATAAATATATTGATGAGCTTTATACCTTGGTGCCTCGATCAAATTTTAATTGTCCTACTAAAATGGCAACTAGTTTCCATCGATTTACTGTTGAAATACCGAGATATTACCGTGATTTATACCATGGTTTCTTTTTTTCTTAGTATCTGTAATCTTCAAAAATTAAAATGGAACTTCTATTGCCATCGTATCATCTGTCTTTTCTAACACTGTTATTTTATTCTTTTATTGTCCTTTCAACCACCACCTTCCACTCACAGTAACCATTATCAACTGCTAGAGTTGAAATGATTCACACACACACACACACACACACACACACACACACACACATATATATATATATATATATATATATATATATATATATATATATATATATATACTTGCGAGTGTGCGTGTTAAAACTGGACCGGGGACGTAGGAAGGGACAGGGATATATAAATTGAAAGCTAAAGATAAAAATCGTTTATGACTTCGTAAGAATATTTTCGTGCCCCGCGGGAAGAAATTATATTAAGGCAATACATCGCCCAATCTGAAACCGGAAATTTCCGTGCTAAATGCGACCAGAAACGGGTGGAAACAAAAGATTATTTCCATGTCTTGGAAGAAAAAAAAAATTAAATAAATACAGTATAAACCTTTTATCATTTTCCTTACACGCTCATCATGGGAAGATGCAAACGCGGGCTCATTTGGAAGAGTAATTTTCTCGTGTTGTCAGTTCGATTCCCAGCAGGCACCCACCAACAAAATCACTGTCGCAGCCGAAGTTAAGATTCGTATAAAAAATATGATAGTGAGTGGGGGACTGCCGTAGTGCGTTTTTTTTTCCTGCATCAAGCATCACCTATCCGATATTTAGTATAATTTGAATGTTCGTTATTTGGGGTGTCATAAATTCAAATTATACCACATATAGTTATAATTATGAAATAGCTAATGGCATTAAGATTAAAAGCCTTAGCAAACGATGATTATTGTGATATAAAATCCACACTACGTACTCAAAACTAGTAGCAAACCGCAAAAATTAATAGACAATTTAATAAGCTAATGTAATTATTCATGCGTAATACGTACGTTTTTCTTAGATCTTTAAGCCTAAATTTAGCTACTTATATGCAATAACCTTTTCCGTCTGTGTGGCGCCATTTTCCAGACTATATGACCAAAAATAAGTTATATGTGTAATCCAGATTAACTTTTTATTCTATGTGCGAAGGCCCTTAAGAACGTTGGCGATCCTGATATTCCACTATTTCTTGTCCTTCGTAGCGCTTACTAAATTTTCGTCTTTTTGCTATTTCTCTTAAACCTGTTCTGTCATCCATTTACACAAGCTTGTTAGGTAGACTATGCGCCGCTTTTCTCTGTCAATATTGACTTCAGTATCTCCTGAATGTGTCATATTTTCTATGTCCTCTTTCCTCATAATATGCGCTAGAAATGTCAGCTATCGCTGTTTTGATGTTAAGAGCGTGTCTTTTTTGTTTCTTTTTTCTATAAATCTATGGCATTGCTCACATGTTCAGTCCATAAGAGTTTTCATTTACTTATCCTCCTTACCTCCTCATCTTCCTTTCTGTTTTCCACCTCTCCCTTTTACCTTCCTCGACTTTACTCCCACTCCTTTTACCTTCCTCACCTCCTCATCTTCCTTTCTGTTTTCCACCTCTCCCTTTTACCTTCCTCGACTTTACTCCCACTCCTTTTACCTTCCTCACCTCCTCATCTTCCTTTCTGTTTTCCACCTCTCCCTTTTACCTTCCTCGACTTTACTCCCACTCCTTATACCTTCCTCATCATCTCATCCTCCTCTCTTTCTTTTCCTCCTCACCTTCTAATCTTCCTCTCCTTCTCATCCTCCCTTCCATCTTTTCTTCTTCACCTTCTCACCCTCCTTTCCTTATTTTCTTTCTATTCTTTTTAACATCTTCGTCTCCTTCTTTTCCTCTTCAACTTCTCATCCTACCCTTCTCATTTTTCTCCTTTCCTTTTTACACCCTCTCTTTTCATCCGTCTCTCCTTCTTTTCCTCTTCTTCTTTTTACCATTCTCATCTTCTTATACGCCTCTCTTTATTTTCCACGCCCTCTTTCCCCGCTTCTCATTCTTGCTCTCCTATTCGTCTTTTCGTCTCCTTCTTCTTTTTTCTTCCTCCCCTTATTTCTCTCCTCTTTCCACTCCTCATTTTCCTTCCTGTCCAATATTTTCCTGTTTCTTTAATACTTTGTTAGCTTTTGGAATGCATATTTTACTATTCCAATGCGACTTCTGATTTCGGTGTTGCACTTTTCCATTTTTTTTTTTGTTAAAACACTTCCCAGATATTAAAATTCTTGTACTTGCAACATTTTTATACATCCAATTAGCAATTTGTATTTTGGGCTGTTAATTTGCTGCCATCTATACAGGGTACGATGGGTAAATTGTCGCCATTTTATATATTTAATTTCTCGCATGAGTGTTGTTCGTTTTTTTTTTGTTTTTTTTAATATTTTGTCTACTGAAGTTAGTTGCCAATCGTCTGTGAGAAAACGAGCACTATCGCGCAATTCACACAGCGAGAAATTTGAAAATGGCATGCTATACTACTTGTCATTCGTGCCGTAAGTTCCATTACGAACATTTCAGAGTGTTTAGGTGACAGTGGAGTGGATTCGGAAAAACTTGAATGAAATTATTGGCGAATACGAAGGTGTTTGGAGTGGTCACTAGTAATGGTGAAGCTATACCTCAATTCATCTTCTTACACGGTGTGTACATCACTACTACCTCCTCAAGGCACCTGATGTACACATCCGTCTTGAGTATGGCGCCATAGTGTCTTCAGCAGCCATCTGCTAGTAGACACTATGTTTGATAACAAGACTATGCATCATCCTACACAAGCAAAAGAACACAGTCATGGCTGTCAGACAATCTCTGCGACCGCATCACCCCTTACATCTGACCGCCTAACTCTCTAGGCTGCAAACCCCTTGATTATTTTGTGTGGGGCGCAGCTGAGCGAGAGACCATCAAAACTCCTTGTAGTACCAAAGATGACCTGAAGGCAAGGAGTATGGCAGCATTCACCAATCTAAACAAGAAAACCAACCAGAAGAGTTGCTGGAGATTCCGAAGCCTTCTAGAATCCAGGGTTGAAGCCAATTGCAATGTTATTGAATATATTTACGCTTTAGTATTTCAAGCAATTTTCTGTGTAATTTGGGAAAATATATATATATGATAAAATAAGATATCAGTAAAATTTTCATTTCTGCGTAATTTAGACGACAAATTATCCATCGCATCACGTACATTTTCTATTCTCTTTCAGGAAAATGCCTCTAGATTTGTTTGAAGGTTTTACTCAATCTATGCCAGTGAGTGATATCCTGAGACTATTTCATTTCTTTGTTTGTTGAGTGATTGTTAGTACTTGCTATTCTTTTTTGAATATGACTACGTTTTACACCCTTACAGTAATAAAATAGGCAATAAACTGAACTGTAACCGTAAGAAGTGGGGAAAACTAAAACTAAACATACGTAGATATTAAACCAAAATAGTAACCCTCATCCTTATTATAAGCCTAACCCTACTTCTAATCATAAACCAACTATACTCATAAACTAAATCTAAGCAGTGAATAAAATCTAAACTTAAGTAGTAAATAAAGCTAACCTTACATCTAAGCAGTAAGAAATTCTAAAATTTAACCCCGGTAAATAAAAACTTAACACAATTCTAAACATAATCACGAACATTAACCTCACCATAACCCTAAAATTAACACTGGCCCTAAACCTGAACGAACCCATAACTTGAAAATACACCTAAGGAATAAAAAAAAAAAAGCAAAGCCATATATATATATATATATATATATATATATATATATATATATATATATATATATATATATATATATAAAGCTTATTATCGAAGGAATTATATTGCATGAAAAAAAAACGTCGACTGGTAATCAAGTTCCTCATTCGTATGAAGACTTTGAAACATAAATGCATAGAAGGCAACTAATCTTTAATTCGTTTTCTTTCTCTTTCTCTTTCTCTCTCTCTCTCTCTCTTTATCCCTGTCATTCTGTCTTTCTCAAATGCACACATTCAAGTGCACTCGCATGTATACAGACATACGTCCTAGAATAATTATATGAATGTTAATGTGAAGATGTCGTATTCAGACACAGTTTTAGAATTCCCGCTTCGTTGCTTCTTGCGCACTAGCGAATAGAGTGGCGGCATATATAAATGTGAGGGCTTGCACGTAGGTAAATAATGCCCGACATCAACATTCGTAAAAATCTGCATGGCTGCATCTCCACGCATGGAAAGATTTAAATAATCTTGTGTAGATTATAATGATTCTTATTTTTTTTTCCAAAAAACGAAACTGATTCTTTGCGTCCGTATGTTCGTAGAAGCAATGTTTAAATAGTTATGCTCTGTATATATATATATATATATATATATATATATAGGGTGTCCATAAAGTCTCTTTACAATTTAAAAATTTTTACAAAAGTAAATGAATGGGCAATTATGTGGAAATGATTAAAAAATGAGATGTAGATATTGAAGTTTTTTTAACTAATTTAATACACCTATATATGGTCGCCATTAGTTGCACTAACCACATCAAGACGGTACTCGATATCTTGCTATGTCCGCAATAGCATAGCCTCATCAATGGTCGTAATGATATCAGTGATCTTTTGCTTTAGATCAGTGATATCCCGTATCTTTGTTCGATACACGGTATACATAATATAACCTCATAGTAAGAAGTCCAGCAGAGTATCCTTTTCAATCTACTGGTCTAGAAATGTTAGGGGTTCATTTAACTGTACATCCTTCATCAACAGTATACTTAAAATAAACAAATCCAATGTGATTACAAACTTTTATAAGAGCTTAGTACGTAGAATAAATCTGATTAAGATATCTTATCAATTATCTTTGTAATATATTTTTTAAATTGTAAAGAGACGTTATGGACACCTTGTATATAGATAGATAAAAAGATAGAAAGATAAATAAATCATAGCTGTTGACTTGTTAATCGATTATGAATATACCTCGTACCCTATCATATATGTTAGGCTAGGTATTGCATTGGTAATTTAGACTATTACACTAATTATAAACTAAATAAATCACGTGGATAACAAAAATATATGATTTGAAGTTATATACAAAATAAATTACTAAATACAAATGGAAATAGTATGTTACTAAAATTATAAAGCATGTATTATTATGCTACAGATGGACACGTCGAATTAAATTCAAATAAAACAATTTAACAAATACAAGGGCCCTCTAAATTGTGTGACTGAAATTCGTTCATATAAAGAGCAAAAAATTTAAAATGTTTCCGCGAAGACGATAAACAACAAAATCTCGTGTTTATCGACAAAATTCAAAAAAGGATCTATAATGCTATCGGTCTTGCCCTGTAATCTCGACTTTCTCACCGACTTGACGTGGCTTCACAGAGACCTTTCTAAAATATATTCATGGCAGTTGTTCTAATGAACTTTTCTTTTTGGTACCCCACAGACAAATTGTACTTATGTATACTAGTTAGGATTACATTTTGACATACTATAGTGACTTTAGTAAAAATGGTGAGTAAGAATGTGTTATTTTGGTACAGTGAACTCTGTGCTATCTGTGGGTCAGTAATCGTGGCTAGCTAAGTTTAAAAATAGCCTTCCCCTATCCCCCTCCTTTTTAGCCTTGTAGCACATTTTTGTATTATTGAAAAAAAATTGCTTTGCTACTTGTTACCCCAACCAAGTAAATTTCTCTTAACTACGACATTGGCTATTGGGTTTCATAGTTTTCCTCTTGAAATAGCTGGATATAACCGTAAGTCATATTCTAATAATTCCTTTTCTCGCATTTCTCACGGCTAGAAATATCTTACAATTTCATGCCCCTCTATCGACTGCAATCTTCAAAAATTTAAATGCAACATGATTCGTCATCTTATGTCAACCTGAATTCTGTTCTTTTATTGCTCTTTCTCCTCAGTAAATTTTTCTAATCCTTTCCTACTCTTAGTAACTCCTTGCGTTTTAGTTACATTATCGCTTTGTTTAGGTTGAAATGAAAAATGTGTTGAAAGAGTTCACCTGTCTAAATAACCTGTACCTATTTTTATACACTTTAATACAAATTGGGCTTGGTATATCTGGAAAAATTAATTTCTTTAGACATTTGGCCGTTTTAATTGATGTTTACGTTAAAGGATTGTACCTCCCTGTTGTCATTTTTATTTTCTGTGACTGCACGTCTTTTCTTCAGATATTTAATACCTCGTAAATTCGTTTCTTTCAGATATCCGCATTGATTTTAAAAGCTGTGAGCGGCTTGGCTATTGAATCGCTAAACTTTGCTTTTGGTTTATGCCGTGGAGTTTTAACTCCTTCGTCTTTCAGTGCATTAGTATGTGTGTATCTTCCTCTCTGATCAAATGGCTTGTCTAATGTAGCATTTATTTAGAGATTTGCGTTTCACTTGTGGAAATGTAAGCTGTCTCAAAAAAAAATATTCAAGTGTTTTTGACATCGAGTGAGCAGCAACCCTATAATCTTTTCAGAGTCCTGATATGTATTTGGACAGATTTCTCAGGTTTCACAAGAGTAAAGAAGAAAACAGTGTACCCATGTTCTATAAACCCAAGTAATATATTTAATAAATCTGTCTTCCCAGATACGACTTTTCACGATCTCAGAAGACTGAGTCGATGTTAGTATGAGGATTTTGTCATCGTCAAGCAAAAAAAAAAAAAAAAATGTTTTAAAGTGATTGCAATGTACCTATATTTTTTTTTTATTGAAATTCGAATCTTAATTTTCTCTGGGAAGATAAAAATTTGTCACTGGCAAATAAATCATTAAGATATTATACAATCTGGTCAGAAGAAAGCGATTCCTTAAATTTTTTTTTAATTAATCTATACCTTTTCAACTTCAAAATGATAATAATCATCTTCAAAATGGACTTATTTTCAGGTAAAAAAATTAATCAACTCCAAGATGGATTAATCAACTTCAAAATGGATTAATCAACTTCAAAATTGATCAATCAACTAGTTGTTTATTCTCATTTTGAAGTTGATTGCTTTTAGTTTTTTTGACATTTTCTCAATTTGAAGTTGATTAATCCATTTTGAAGTTGATTGTTCCATTTTGAAGTTGATTGATCCAATTTGAAGTTGATTAATCCATTTTGAAGTTGATTAATCCATTTTGGAGTTGATTAATTTTTTTACTTGAAAATAAGTCCATTTTGAAGTTGATTATTATCATTTTGAAGTTGAAATGTATAGTTTTATAGTACGAAAATATCGAATATATATTGAAGGCAAGGAGAAATTTGTAAAGACTTAGATGTTTATAAGTGTAATGAAGAAAGTAGGTAAAGTAGAGCTGAGATATGAGCCCATAGCTACACTGTCAACCTTTGTAAATATTAACATAATGATCCTATAACCTTATTTGTACCTTCCATGTTCAAACATGCTTAAATAGAATTGTTGCTAGATTTTGAAGTGAGAAACACTTATACACCATATATACTCGCGCATTATGTGCTATTTGAAGAACTAATTTTGAAGCTAATTTTAGTGGTGGGTCGCATAATACACGCGGTATAAACTTAACGTATGTACCGCTGGCCCTGTCTACTCTGTTGACCAAACTTTATACCCATTTATTAAAAAAAAGTCGGATGATGAATGAGTATATACGGTGTATATACTCGAATCTCCCGTCGGATTCGACGTATGAGGGTCATGCAGATCAGTTCCCAAGAAACCGACAGCCGGACAACAGCACAACGGAATTTGATTATATTGGTGAAAGTTTTGTGCAGGTCCATCCACACTTTTTGAAGGACCGAATGCAGAGACCTGGTAGATTAAGTGCCACAAGGTCCCCAAACGACCCTCCGCAGGTTTTGAATTCAGAGTTGTCCTTCTCCTAGACCAGTTGCCATCCAAGGCTATAGAAACCAGTCTGTCCTGATATTTACCCATAGCTGTGAGAAGAAGAGGATTCATACCTTTCCCAAGGTTATTAGAACGTAAGTGAATGTAATGGATTCGACTGGAATTCGAACTCGGCTCTCCGATTCCTCAATCCAAGCCGCTATCCATTACTTACTCTCTCTCTCTCTCTCTCTCTCTCTCTCTCTCTCTATATATATATATATATATATATATATATATATATATATATATATATATATATATATATATATATATATATTATGAATGAAGATAATAAAGAAATTCATTTTGTATTCATACGCAAATCTATATCGTATAAATTGCAACTAAATCTTGAAGACTAAATCACTAGAAAAATAGTAGTGAATAATTACAGTTCTATTCACTTTTAATATTTGGCTACGGATATCAACATGGACAGGGTTCTAAAACCTAAAATTCAAGATCTATATAGTAAGAACCCTGACACAAAGAAAATATGGAAACATTTTAAAACTTCCTCATGATTAATGAGGGTGAGAATTTGGATGTTGTTATGAATTACGTGTTGTCTGATGTATACAAACTGTTCAGCGAATATATAAACTTTGAAGAAGCTATTAACATTCCATCAAGAGCTTTCGTTCAAGAAAAAAAGTAAGATATACGCCAGGCATGTACTTGCAAACCAGAACTCAACAGGCTAGCGAAAACTTGTATTAATCTTTTCAATCATTGAACATTCTGTCGAAGGACTGTAAATTCAACTATTTTACCGCTCCAGTTTACAAAGAGGAACCTATTAAAGATGCCTTTATTTCTCGGTTATCTGTACCTCCTAGTCGACAGAGACTTCTTGAAAAGAAAACGCTCACCCTCACAGAAGTTGGAAACTAAGCGTGAAAGGGATATCCTAAATTCGGCTGATGCCCAAACAAGTGTTCAAGCGGGATCTGTATCAAAACCCGCGACTAACGTCTTAACTTCACAGCAAGAAAAAAATCTAAAGGAGGTGGACTCTCGGAAATCCGCTTCTAGCAAATCCATTTCAAAAGAAAGCTTTTTTTTTCTGCGGAGGTGCCAGGCATCCTAGAAGTAAGTGTCCAACTCCAGAAATGAGTTGCTGCAATGGCCAGAACGATGGTAATTTCGCTAAAGTCTATCATTTGGAAGGTATTAAGTTTTCTGCTGCATTACCCGTCATATGCAAGTTAACTACCGGACTACAGAGAGTTTCGAAAACCACGGTAAAATGCCTCCCGAGTAAAAAATCTTAACGCGATAGTAGATTCAGGAAGTAGCCATAGTTTTCTCGACAGCTCAATCTATGGGTTTGTAGGTTAGACATACTAACTCTACCGCCAACATGGCTCCGTATATCTTGTTATTAAAAACTGAAGGAAAATGTAAAGCGAATCCTACGGAAGGCACAGAAACTTACAAGAAAATAATTCATACTTAATGGATAATATATGTGCTGATGTTATCTTCGGACAAGACATTCAAGTTCTGTATAAAAGAAATTTTATGAGGGCGACCGTCCATATCTAAAACTATGTGGACTAGCTAGCATGAGGATTTTACCTACTACTAGGTTTGAAAATATGTCGCCTGAATGGAGACGTATATCCGTGAAACCCTGAAGGTTTTCTATAGAAGTGGAGGCATTTATAAGGAAGAAAATTAAAAGCCTGTTGGATTCAGATATCACTGAGCCCAGATCTCTGTGGAAAGCGTAAGTGATATTAACTAAGGACGAGAAACGAAAAAAATAGATTAGTCACAAATGATTAATAATTTTACATTAAAATCCGATACCTCAGATTACAAAAATGGTTTCAGAAATAGGAAAGTATAGTCTGTACTCTAATCTAGACCTAAAAGTGCGAATCATCAATTTCCCCTCATTAAAGCAGATCACACTTACATGGCATTTAAAGCCGGTTTAAAATTGTATAATTTCAAAAAGGAAGCTGTTTGGATTGACAAATGGAGTGTCAGGGTTTCAATGAATTTTAGCTGAAATATTCAAAAAGAAAATCCTAAAGAGACCGTTCGCGTATATACATGACGTAACAATTTGCGGTATTAATGAAATAGAAGATGTCACTAACATGGCAAGTTTCAAATAACTGATGGAAAAGTACAGTCTCACTTTAAATGAGAATAAATATTTCTATAGAATAACGAAAATAACACTTCTGGGCTATAACATAAATATAGGGACCGTTAAGACCAGATCCTGAAAGGATGAGACCTCTACGAGAAAATCTTTGCTCAAGGCAATATGAAAGCTCAGTAGAAAATCATCGCAATGTTCGTTTACTACAGACGTTGAATCCCCCACTATATTTCCCTTAACTACAAAAAAGATTTACTTTGAATATTTGAACAGGGAATTAGAAAGAGCTGCAGTACACACTCTAGACGAGGAAAAATCCCTTGAAATTGAAACATATGCTTGCTAAGTAAGCTTAGCTGCGCTGGTAAATCAAGGAGGCTAGCCAGTTGCATTCTGGGCGAGAACTCTAAACCCCTGTTAACGAAATCACTCCCCTGTAGAAAAAGAAGATAACACGGTCATCGAAGCAATCACGGAAGGAATTCATTACCTAAGAAGTAAATATTTTATTCTTTTCACGGACTAAGAAACACTATGCTACATTTTCGATAAGCATAAACCTTCGAACACTAAAAACGACAAAATTCCTTGCTGGCGAATTGAACTTTACACTTACAAATATGGCATCAGATATTGACCGGATATCAAAAGCGCATGCTCAGATGCGTTATCGAGTGTACATTGCGCTTCTGTCGTAATTATCGACCTTAAGGAATTATATAATATCATATATCATCCTGCAGTATTAAAAATGATGCACTAGATCAGGTCGAGCAATTTTCCCTACTCAACAGAGAATGTAAAGAGCGTGAGTGAAAAATGTAATATGTGTGACATAGAAAAGCCAAGATTTGTGAGAAGAGGAGGCAAATTAATCAAATCCATTCAAACCTTCGAAAGATTGAATATAGATTTCAAGGGACTGATTCCTCGAAATCGAGGAGGAAACAAATATTTATTGTTTATCATTGATGTATATAATTATTTCACTTTCATTTTCGCATGTAGGGATACACTTACTGCAGCTGTATTGATTATTATTTTCCATATTTTGTATGCCAAATTATATACACTCTGATAGAGGACATATATTAATGTCGAGGGAGTTAAGGAATTTTTTTCAAGATAAAAGAATAGCTACTATTACATCTAACGAGGGAAGGGACAAGTGCAGAGTCTGAACGGAAGTCTGTGGAGCTTTAAAATCGAGAGGTGTACATGCGCATTAATGGGAAACTGTTTCATCTGACGTTCCCGATTACACTCTTGTTATGTTACCAAATGAGAGAGAAAGTACTGTTTTTTTACATCACTTCGCTTCTGCCAGGGTGGGAACAACAATTTATGTACATGAAGCAGTTACAATAGTCAAAATCCTACATAGGATTCGGATGGAAATAAATTAGCCAAGTCAGAAGATACTGTACCACAACCAGTGTCTATTGATTCAACTGAAGGTACTGAACCAGGTATCTGTAACTTTTCTGGACTAAACACTTCAAAAATATCCCCCAAATCCTCTAAGGCGCTCTAAGCGCATCACCAAAGAAAAGAAATAAATTTGGTTCAGTTGTTTTTCAATCAGCATTCCTTTTCTTTTACTGAATTAAAGTATTCAAAATTTACATTGTGAAAAAAATAGTTGGGAAGAATTTTGCATTCCATCATATAAATATCAGTCAATACAGTTTGATGGCGAAACTAGTCTTGACATTGAAAACTAAACTACTAAAGAAATAGTAGTGAATAAGTCTAGCTAATTATATCTTAGCACAACTCTCATATTCTAAGTGGCTAGGATGTCGTTATAAGGTTGACTCGAGGGCAGAAATTCAAGGGAATTGTCGGTGGAATTTGTTTTGGAACTATCAAGATTCACTCATACTCACAAAGACACATGTAAATGTTACTCCATATACATTTTCCTTTCTCCCCAATATATATATATATATATATATATATATATATATATATATATATATATATATATATATATATAGTTAGGTAATCCAATGTGAGCTCAACAGAAGGCTCAATTAAAAGTTGTCTGCTTTCTAATATATATATATATATATATATATATATATATATATATATATATGTGTGTGTGTGTGTTGCTTCAGACCCGTTTACAATGGATACCCGTATTTGAAATAGACGTGGCATCATTATTTTTATTTTAAACAGTGTGTATTACATCTATAGACCTGCGTTATTAATAGATAAAACACGACAGAATGAATCTGCCTTTCATTTTCATGGATATATATATATATATATATATATATATATATATATATATATATATGAAGAAATATACTTTTAATGTGTGCTATAGTTATGGGATAAAGTGCTGAATATCAGAGACAGAGCGTATGTAAATATAAATATTTATATGTGAGTTTGTGTATGTATGTGTTTTTAGGCACCAAATTCTTTTTTAGGCATGTCTGATAAAAAAATTACAGACATCATGTCTGCTTATTTTTAGTATAATCCGGGCATACTCACGAATAACCTTCCGTGTATTGCAATTAATTGATTTGTGAAAATGGCTTTTATTTTCCCAGTACTTTCGTTCTTCTTCTATACCGAAACAATTAAACTCAAAGAAAAGCAGCTAATTATGGATAGCAACACAAAGTTTTGTTAGATTCTTGCACATCTGTACAACTCACAGTTTTGTATTAAAATGATCTTGGAAGAAGACCAAATGTACTTGGAAAATAAAAGCTATTTTCATAGTTATAGCACATTTTACGCATCATTTCATAGCAATACAAGGAAGGTTATTCGTGAGTATGAACGGATAATGTTAAAAATAAGCAAACATTGTCTGTAATTTATTTAATCATATATAATGTATATGTCGGACCGTTCTTCTTTTCTTTTTGGCCTGTCTGCATGTCTGTCAGTCTTTGTGTCATTGTATATGTGTAGACAATAATTTATCTATTACTTATGCATGCTTAAAATGAAATACATAAGATAATACCATCAACAAATAGACAATTACACAAACACGGACACAATGCGAAATAATTTGGAAAAATCTACAGACTTGTAAGTTTAATGTATAGCATCTTTTAACGGTGTGTGGCAAGGGAATTGAATGAATGTCAATTATGACGACCCCGTCTCCACAATGAACTATCCAAACGTTATCAACGACAATGATTAATCACTTGCCTTTGTTAAATATGCCGCAGTGAGCTTCGTTGGCCGTCGCTTTTCAGAATTCTACTTATAAAGAATTTTGGGCGCTCCAACAAGCCTCATTGGAATTATACGTTTAAACCCTCCTGCAAGTTATCCATTATATCACAATTTGTAAATATTCAGAACGCTTTAATGTAGTAATTCTGTGAATGCTTCACTGTTTCACTCTTTACGATTGCCTTCTTGATTAGTGCTGGAGTTAACACTGCTAAGATGTACGAGTGTCGACTCAAAATTTCGGCTGACCAAGTTATTCTCATGGAATCTTTTTCTTTTAAAATATTTTTTTTTTATTTTTCAACATAGTTCCCCTTATTTACATTATTTGGGCTGTTATCCTCACCTTCGTTGCCATATGCACAATGTTTCGGCCGTAGTACGTTCCAGCATTCTTCAGCTGATTGGAATTTCGATCGAACCGTTTATTTTTTCCACAGTGGTAAATTTTTCTAATTCCATGGGTCATACCTCTTCCGGACATCTCAGTTATTTCCCTTTAACCCATTTCCCCAAGATTTGGTTCAACACTGCTGTATCCTGGTGTTGATTACTTTGGGTCTATTTACTGGATCCAACCAACGCCTTTATTCACAGGGCCATGTGTCCTTGAGGACATGTGTCTATGAAGTTTTGGGACTTATAAAACTAATGTGCTAGTAATCATTTTTTATCAGAGCTTATATTGCAATGTTTGTTGTTATTCATTGCTTTCTCTAGCATTCCTTATTACTGGTTTCCATATTGTATTCATTTCTATTCTTGGATGGTTTAGGAAATCTTTTTGGAATAGCATATCTTCTGATTCCTTAAGTTTTCGTATCTTCCAGTGATGTCCTCTGTTTATTATTTCAACTTCACAGGCAGCAGTGATATTGTTTTTCCCTCCATATGAGTTCAGCTACGCCTGATTTTTCTGTTTCTCCTCGTGTTACCACT